ATGAACACTTTTTATTTTGTTAAAACTAATAGTCATGGAAATAAAAATTAATTTTCGTGTTCCGTTACATGTGTGAGCCACTGTATATGGTTTGGTTTTTATTTAAGAATAGGAATCGGAAATCGATCAATTTTGTAACATCAAGGTCTTAGAATCGATTCCTATCCCTAATAGAGAGATGGTAAAATCCAAACTCAGAAGAAATAAAGGAAATATGTAATATATATAGAGTATTTACTCTGAACTTCCGTTACTAACAACAAATAAAGGTAATTACTTTTATCGCCATATAAAAAAAGGCAAGCACGTAAAATCCACGAAAATTGCGAGGAATGATACGCAATGGCACGGCAAGCACGGGAAACGTAACAAATTCCATATACATGAACACGTTTCGTGCATGGTTTTTTTTAACACGGAAATGACACAAATTTGACAGTTCGTGCTTATACGTAGTTTCATGCTAAGAAAGTACCAAAAACGTATTTATGTATACAGAATTTGTCACGTTTCCCGTGCTTGAGCGTACTATGGCGTGGATCTTACGTGCTTGTTTTTTTTATCACAAAAATATGCAAACAGCGATAATTTGAATTATAACGAGAAACTTATTGATTTAATTACAAAAATCATTCAACGTCTTGAAAATTTCTTATGGGGCAGCAAGAAGTATCCACTCGGATGGTATTTTTAAAAGTCAAATTGTAGCTGGGTCAAATAGCTAAAGAGAATTTTTGTTTCACGTATAGAACACCTTTAAAAATCTCACCTGAGTAAATACTTCTTGCTCACTATAACGAATTTAGTTTACACTTTAAAATATTCATGTGATAGAACATGTAAATAATTCCATGCGTCACACTAAAAAATCAGATCAGTGTAACGATAATATTTATGTTTTTGGAAATCAAGTTTACGTACGTATATAACGATAAATTTAAGATACGTATCGATATTTTTTAATTTTCATTGATAGATACGAAAGAATTAAGGTTTGGTACATCAATTTCCCGTGAAAACGAATGCGGGAGTGACATATATTACATAATATTGAGTTACGTACTACGTATAGAGGTAACCACCTCCCCCCAGGTGAGATTTTTATTATATTTAATTGGCTAATTATTTTTGATCACGCGGAAGGTGAGATTTTGAGACCCCTCCCCCTGATAATTACGTAATATATGTCACTCCCCTAATGTTATAATAAATATCGAAATTTTCTTTATTCCATAAATTTGAAAAAAATAATGACATTGAATTATGAAAATTGCTCTTATTACAATGACTGTACAATAAATAATAGCGGAATTTTGGAGGAAAAAAGTGAGGATAATAACATTATAGGTGAAGGAAAATACTGTGAAGGCTTCAAATTTTGCTATTTTCTTTTACAATATTGCTTTGAACTTCGGAATCGAATCGGAAGTACCGTGAAAAGCGATTCTATTGTGATTCATCAATGGATCAACACACAAAATCAACCTAAAAAACAATTGTTCCAGCTGATTGTGCGAAATTCGGGTCAGCGTGAATTCGTATGTTTGCTTGGTTATTGCTATGAATATGAAATTGGAATAGAGTTAAATAAAGAAAAAGCATTTGAATTGTACAAAAAATCCGCAGATCTAGGCTTCTTGATTGCAAAACTCGAAGTTGCGTTCAGTTTAATTCACGGCATCGGCATACAACGTAATCCATCTCTCGGCTTCAAACTATTTGAAATTGCTGCTATTAGTGGAGACCCAAAAGCACAACTAAGCCTTGCAAACTGTTATATGGCAGGAATCGGTACTCCTAAAGATAAAATTAAGGGTTTAAACTTATACCAGAAATCAGCGGAAAATAATAATGCAGAAGCACATGCGTTATTAGGGTTCTGTTTTTTGATAGGTGATGGTGTGAAAATAAATATGTCAAAAGCATTTGCGCATTTTACTAAATCAGCTGAATTAGGGAGTCCAGTTGGACTCTTCTGTCTTGGCGAATGCTTTGAAAAAGGTCATGGTGTCAATAAGGATGAAGAAAAAGCTTTTATATGTTTCCAAGGAGCTGCGAAATCCGGTTTTCTTGAGGCGCAGACGCGTCTTGGGCGATGTTATATAGAGGGAACAGGAACTTCACCAGACCACATGGAAGCATTCAAATGGTTTCAGAAATCAGCCGAAGGTGGAAACGATTATGGACAATGTTGTTTAGGACAATGTTATTCTACAGGGAAAGGAATCGACATTGATTACTCCAAAGCTTATTGTTGGTTTCAAAAAGCAGCACAACGACAAAATAGCTATGCTTTCACTTTACTTGGTAACGCGCATGAATTCGGTAGAGGTGTACGCAAAAATATGAGAAACGCGTTTATTCTTTATTTAAAAGCTGCAAATGGTGATGATTATATGGGGCAACGTAATATTACCGAAAATTTTCTGTATGGAATGGGAACAAGTGTTGACGTTCATAAATCGATTTATTGGATTAGGCAAGGTTTAAAACATTCTGAAAAGACAACGGAGGAAAATTATGAGGATATAACAGAGATTTTGCAAGAAATATTTAGATTGTAGCTTTTTTATTATAAGCAATTTTTGTAATACTAAACTAATTACATGTAATTATCAATATAATAATATTTCACAAATTAATTTATATGTAATCTATACGTATAGAGTTGTTTAAGATACACATATCGATACTTTTGAGATTACAGTTATTTTTTAATAATAAATATCGACAGAAATGTTATACGTATTACTTATAGAACAACTCTAACTGGATTAATACTAGAGTATTATCCAGTGCAATAGTCCAGTCACGTGTAAATAGTCTTCACACAAAAAATAATGACGCGCGTCATTGGTTGACTTCTTATATTGAAGTACTTGATGAAAAGGCAAATGAATACGTATAACGATAATGAATATGTAAAAAATGTGATTGTTTATACAAAATATAAAGAATAAAGTCCAAATTATTTTAGCCCAGTAAAAAATTGAAATTAATATCCGGTTTTTGTTGAGTTCCCAGAAATCAACAAAGATCAATAAATACACATTTTATAAAATGAATAAAAAATGGTTTTTTTAAATGGAATTTTATTAAAACCAGTTTAAGAACCATTTTTTATTCATTTTATAAAATGTGTATTTACTACAGTGCAGGTCACTTAGTTACCACACAAAAAGTGAACTAACTTTAAATTTTATCAGAATCCCATCTTATGCTTAAAAAAATTAGAAAATACATAAAATTAACTATTCTTTAATATTACATATTTTTGACTGGAAACATTTTGATTGTTGAATTGATAGTTCTTAAATATTAAGGGTTTTTATATTAGTTTGATACTCCATTCAGTTGATACAAGAATAAATCTTCTAATATTTTGGCAAAGCATTCTTTCATGTGTGGTGAGATCCATTCAAATAAAAACATTATATGTATATAAAAGAAATAAGGGTAAAAAGAAATAGAGCACAAAAATAATACAAATTAAGAAAAGATGTTAAAATAATTTTGAAAGAAAGATATGATAATGGATATATTTATATTGTTTTTCAAAAGAGAAGTATTACAATATTAATATTATAATAAGGATATTAATAAGAGATCTACATATTCTATTACTACTTCTGGTTCAAATAAAGTTAATCATTCATGAAATGTTTTTAATTGTACACTGTTAATTGATTTCTTGAGTAATTATTCTTGTTAATTTTACAATTTATATACTTCATTCTGATAGGTTTCATATATGTAGTATTATTATTCTTTTTATTGAGATTTAAACTTGTTTTCATATTCAACATGTCTTTTCATATTATAAACTAAAAATTTTGTCTCTAATTTTGAATTATTGTACTTTTCTTAGTTTTTTATTATGTTATTCTTTTAATTTCTCTTGGAAAAATTAATATTTTTCTTGGTATCGTTCAGGTAAATAATTAATTAAAGTAAATATTCTACTTAAAAATTGTTCTTCTATTTTGATTTTTTTTGAGTATTGTTTCAAATTTCAATTCTATTAGTAATCATGCTTCTCTTTCATATATTAGAAAGAAAGATTCATAATATATAGTATTATTTTGTAAAGTTCTATAAACAAATAATGCAATTGAAATATAATTATTTTATTCTTTATCTAAAATAATAGTAAGTTTTTGTAATATTATTGATAATATTATATTGAATTATTCTATAATTCTATTTGTTTATAGATAATATAGTGATGAATATTTGTGTTATATTTTAAATTTACTAATAAGTTCTTCTATTATTTGTGCTATGAATTTTATTTTTTGATCTACATCAGGAAATTTTTTAGGGTGATTTGTATCGATATTTATCGTTAGTTATATATCGATATATATCCGAGTCGTCGATGCATATCGAAACAGATA